TATATATTACAATATAATTAACATCGGGGTATAGGCGCTCACCTAGTATATAATTCCAATTTTTAATATTTGACAAAAACTCACAAGCTAACTCGGTCATATATATAATAATACAAAAATAAATGATAACAAATATCGCGTATCACCTTTTAATGATAGCGCGTTACCGTACAGTGATTGTTCAGATTCTGTGACCCACGCGATGAAGATCGGATCGCAAATATAATATAAAATAACTGAAGCGATCAAAAATATAAGTCGAGTGCCCGTGCACCAATAAACTCGCACCCGCGCGCGATATAAAAATAATTTAGTGCACCCGCATGCAAACAATTAACAAAAAAAAATATCGTAATACGTTAAAATACAACAATCGCATTAAAAACCATGTGCCACCAATGGCAAAAAACGACGACGCGACGCAATAAAATGGACATACGGTGACGACGATGGGCTGGAGAAGACTAAAAACAGTAAAAACTAACCCTTTGTTCGCGGCGGCAGCTGGTTTGCGCTATACAGCAGGAGTAGGGTCCGTCTAAACCAGGCATGCCCAACCTTTTTCAACTGGCGGGCCACATTCAAAATGTATATTTGTACTGCGGGCCGTATATGCTTCATGGGGTTTTTTTTTTTTTTTTGTTCATTTCGATAATATATAAACTAGTCATAGGTATATTTATTATACATTTTATCGGATATAATATTATCTTTGTTCACTTATTGAATTTATGACTCAAATCGTATGTGTTTAAAGTTCTCAATATTTCCACGCTATAGTTGTTAGTTTGTTTTCGTCATTAAAAATTATTTTATATTCTTAAAAACTTAATAAAATACATTTTTTCGTAAATAATTATTTATTTTTTTTTACACCTATACAAATTTCTAATTTTTATAAAATGATCACGGGCCGGTTGGAACACCTTCGCGATCCGGATTCGGCCCGCGGGCCGCGGGTTGGGCATACTTGGTCTAGACGCTTCTCTGTCTTATTGACGAAGACCCTTGACCGAGATGCATGTTACTGTCATTTTTGGAATTTGGTACCGAATACACTAGTTATAAGTAAAGGCATCTACACTGTAGATAATCGTCTGCTTATATTTATAGAAATATTTTACTGTAGATTTAAATTAACTTTTGATTAACTTTTCTATTTGATATGATTAATACGATAGATTTAAGGGTGCTTATTTGTCAAAATTTAAAGTAGAAAAGGGGTTGAAAAATAAATTTATAAGCAAAAGAAAAAATAGTTTTATCAAAATACTAACTTTAAACAATTATAAAAACAGTTTGTCACATTAGATTTTCGTTATTTTTAACTAAGAAATTAACAACATATGAGGAGCTTTATATTACATTTTTAAACTTTTTTACCTAATCAACATTTTTTAACAATTAAATGAGAATCAATTAAATTGCTTTATTATGAACTAGTGGGCAATAAAAACTTCATTAATAAATAAATTATAATCATAATGTTTCGTTTATAAAAGTATGTGCATAAAAAATGAAAGCTGATGAAATAACCCAGAAATGGCGTAACTTAGAGTCAATTCTGAGGAGGGGGGGACAAGCAGTAGTAAAACTAAAAGTGCGTTGATAAATAAATAAATAAATAAATAATACTTAAAGACTCAATTTTTTTTTTTATTTTACATTATAAAATTGATAAAAAGATGTAAAACTCAACAAAATTATTAAAAATTATGCGTATTACATATTAATTTATTTTAACACAAGTCGACGACCACGAAGTTAAATGTTAACTTGTCTATTTCTTTCAATATAAAGCTATTAAAACGATAAATCTATTATTAATTATTATATAATGCATTATGCTGTTTTATTTGTCTATGATAAAATAGAAATTGAATTATAACATTTAAAGGGTGGAGGAAACGATACCATTTCCCCCACTACTTTACAATGGTAGACCCCCCCCCATGGCTCATGTTATACTATTTATTTTTATTTTTTAAAGTTACCCTGAAATTTTCTTCAAATTGTATTGATTAGATTGATTATTAGATTTGGTATTTTGTTGATAACACGTCGAATTCGATGTATAGATAAAATTAACGGTTGCCAATAACTTACTATATCATATAAGTATATTTTAAGTCATGATTGTAATACTGTTTTTTTATGATTTTTATTTTGTTACTAACTTAAATTTTGTTAAACGATCGATTAAATAAACACAGAGAAATAATATATAGTTTTTAAGCGTTGATAGATTATAATAATGAAACAGATCTTCATCAACTTCTAAATTTTTATCAAAATGATGTCGAATGCTATAACAAAGTAGTTATTGAATTTAATTTATGGCATTGGTGCTTAAGAAAAAATAATATTAAATCCACGAGTGCATTGGACGCACTATCAAAATGTAATTCTGAGTTTTATAAAAATGTTAATACTTTATTGCACATCTTTGTTGTTCTCCCTGTTACATCATGTGAAGCGGAAAGAACCCTCTCATCACTCAAAAGAATTAAAAAATATTTAAGAAACACTATTTCTGAAAATAGACTGAATGGGTTGACTAATCTTATTACATCGAGAAGTCCCAGTTACAGTGGAAGAAGTTATAAATATATTAACTGAAGAAAAACGGCGCTTGGGTTTAACATGACTAATTTTATTGGACTAATAACTAAAATAACTATACCATAATTTAAATGGCATAATAATAATAATTAATTGACATACATTGTAAATATAAATTTAAAAATGTAAAAAATATGTATATTAAATAATATAATTTTGTTTATTAAGCAATAAAATGTTTGTATTATTTAAGCAAAGAACAGAAAAACAGTAGATAAATAAATTTTTTTAAACCACCTCTTTGAATAAATTCTAGTTGTGAAACTTTTACTATATTACTCATTACTATCATCAATTGAAATACATAGAAGCCAGTAGCAGTTAGCTAGTGTAGTTAGGTATAGAAATTCAAACGAAAAACAATTTGATTTTCTAATTTTAAAAATTATATAGTTTTCAACTTCTTATTTTATACTCTATATTGGTCACTCGTTATGTGTCGTAGTTATAAAAATAATATTATTACTTAAAGGCTGCAAAAAAGAAAAAAATGAATTTTTCATCCTCAATGTAGGTGAAGCATGATGTCCTTATTGTTTCCTTTTAATGGCAACCTTCTATAAGTAAGTCAAACTAATAATTTCCGAAAACAAATTACATATCTTATATAATAACATATAGATTATATTATTATTTTATGTTTAGATAAATAGCTATTATTTTAAAACTCATAAAATAAATAAATAAATTCCATAGAGTGATGTGAATAGTTTCGTGATATAATTATAGTTTAAAAATATATTGTGTATTAAAATAAAATATCAGATAAAATTGTTTTTTTTTATTTGTTTATCAAATTGTGTTAAAATTTGAACTTAAAAGTCAAAATATTTTTAGAAAAATAGTGCATCTTTTTTTTTTTTTTGAAATGTGTACATAGGTTTTTGTAAAAATGTATGAAAAATCTTTCATTTTATATGATATTTTCAATGCATAATTAACAAAATATGATATTACTAAAAATTAAAAAAAAATTGCAAATTTTAATTTCATTATTCTAATAAATTTTATCAATATTTTGACTTCAAGTGTTTATAAAAAAAATTATTTATAACTCTATTCAGAATCTACAAGTTCAAATTTGTAGAATAATAAGATTACAATAACATGAGAATTATAATGAAACAGGCATTGTATTATGAGATAAGCATTTTTTCGATTTACGAACGATGTTCTTTATTAATATACTTTACCTCTATGATATTATAATTTAATTTATAATTTACTTGAGTTATTTTATAATATAATTTAATATAATTTAAATTATTTAATCTTATGACAGATATATTCTAATAGTTGTTAATACGCATTATTTAAATGCCTTTGGCTAATGTCTTGTTATCTGGCTTGTATTAATATTATCCAAGATTTTAACAATATGTAAGGTGGCTAATGTTGAGTTTATCCGATTAATGTCGACATTATCCAAATTTTAACATTACCCGTAACATAATATATATAAAGATTTAATAGTAAATTAACTTACCTTGATCTAACTGAAGGCAGCTAAACCGAGAAGTAGAAATATGTTCAATATTAAAATATAATATATAATTTATATTAATTAATACTTAATGTATTGAAAATACTTGAAAGAATATTTTTATTATTTAAAAATACAAAACATTACACTACTCGTTACTACAGCTGGAGGCATAGGTATGCAGGAAGAGTGCAATTGTTGACATCGGCCCAATGATCGATAGGTATGATCCGAGTGATTAAAATAATTTGTTTATACAAGAAGATAAAAATATTTCATCATAGATGTTTATTGTCTATATTTAATGTAGGCATTTGTATGACTTTATAATATACAATAAAATGTATACGTATGGTAAGATTCTAATGATGACACACTTCTTAGCCATTAACTACAAAGAGTGGATATTATTACAATATAAATTATAATATATATTGTACAATTATTTCAAAGTTAATTTTATTAATTAAAAGATTGAGAAAAAAGATAATAAAATATTAAAATGAACCTATGCATATTTGTATAATTGAATTTTCCATCCATATGTTGACATGTGGCATCAATGATTAGGTTTTATGAGTCATCATTTAAAAAAAATAATTTTCAGTTATGTAAAAGTAATACAATTTATTATTTTACAAAAGTATTTTTTTTTAAAAATAACTATAAATATTTGTAATATTAGGAGTACCTATTTATAAATACATTTACGTATGTATATAATTAGTTAAATTTTTACCACAAAAACTAATTATTTTAAACTATTTGCTATTTAGTTAAATGAAAAATTGTTGACAGTATTGTTTTATTGTCATTAACAATAATTAAATACAACATTTGAGGTTAAATATTTTTTTTTTAAATTGTAGGAGTTATGCATTTAAGTCAATACGTGTTAAGATTTTAAGTTAGTGGTTATTGGAAATGTTCGTATTGTGATCATATTTTGTACTTACTTACTACACTTTAAAATTTATAAAATGGTTAAACCAATTTATTGCAATGTGCTCTTACTAGTTTCATGCTTAGTATATGAAGCGTAAGTATTAAATAACTATTTTATTAAAATATAAAAATTAACACTTATTAAATTTCATAAATATAATGTTTAGGCATGGAAATAATCCTAGGGTTAGGTATATAAAAACGCCTTCACGTTTTATTTCTGACAATAATGATCCTTATGATTCATCATCGTTATCAACAGCAGCAGCAGATGTAGCAGTAGAAGATACAGAATCATTAGAATCAGCAGCAAAATTACCGGCATCGCATTCTTTGAGGAGTAAATTGCTATTTAAAAATATTTATCGTACACATTTTTTCTAAATATTTATCATTTTTTAGAATCGCTTAGTTCGAACGCTTCTTCAGGATATGATGGAAATCGTGGATTAGGTTCAAATAATAAATCTCGGCGTGGTGTGCACTATAAACGAAAACCGTATGATATGGTTTCAAACAATCAGAATAGTGAACAAATGCAAAATAATATGAATTCTGGATTTTCAAATGATAAATCTCTAAGTGATCTAGACAATACAAATTATCAAACTGAAATGACTTTAGACGATTCAAACATTAAAAAAAGAAATAATGATATGACTTTCGAAAGCTTAAATAAGAGACCTTTAAGCGGCCTAAATAATAGAAACAAGAAAAACGAGAATACTTCAGAAAATAAAAATATCAGAGAAAGACAAAATAGTATAATTTCAGATTCAACACAAACAAAAATGAATCTTTTAGATAGAATTAAAGAAAACTTAAGACAAAATCCTTTATTCCCGAAATTGAATGAAGATGATAGTCAACGAATCAATTATGGTAATGAAAAATCAAGTGTGACGAATATGATGAATTTTAATAAAAACTTATTTAATGATCGTGGAGTATTAGGACAAAATATTAATTTGTCATTTAGAAAATGTTGTATTAATGGCAATTGTCGTGTTCTAAAAGACGGAGAAAAATGTGGTGTTGAGGATTTATTTGTAAGTATAATTTAGACAAAGTACAAAGACACATTATATTTAAAATTTACATAATATTTTAAACAGTTTTTTGCGATATTATTATAATTATTGTAACTACAGACTGATTATTATATAGGTAGCTAAAAAGTGCTATTAAAAAATCAGATAGACCACTAGTATTTTTTTCGAGTAAATACATTTAAATGGATCATAGATTATGTTTATTTACGATTATTTTTTAAAATTAAATTTAATGTACTTAATCACTCTAAATATAATATTTTGTATATTTACAACGTTACAAAAAAAGTTAGTCCAAGTCTACTAATTTTAAATGTTTTTAATTTTTATAGAAGTTTACGAACTAGGTAAATAAATTATGTATAACATATTGTTTGTAGTTATGTAAAATTAACTATTATAATAATATTCAAAGCTTATAAATATATGAAATTACAGACAAATATGAAAGACACACAACAACTAAAAAATCCGATGTTTGTAACTATGGGTAACGGAGACAATGGTTTTCAAGATATGATGTCAAACTTAAAGCCTTTTAAGGTAAACTCGTTCAACAAATTTGGAGATAGTTTCGATGAAGGCAGCAATATTCAGGAAACAAGAAAACCGACAAATATGCGATTTGGTTTAATGAGATACCCAATTACCATTCCCTCTTTAGATTCGAGTAGTGGTATAGGTAATGGTATGAGTTCATTCGTTATGCCACAAAAAAATAAACCAAAAAATTACCCATACTCAGAACCTATTGGTTTGAGTGAAGACGAAGCTAATGAAATCCGAAATAAAGTCCTTCAAAAATCTAATTTGTATAGAAAAAAACATAATCTCATTCCATTTACTTTGGATGATCAGGTAAGTTAGCAATATCGACCTTAATGTATTTATTACAGAATTATGAATTAAATACATAGAAACATAGGTTTATAAATGAAAATAAGTATTGGGAATAACAAATATAGTATAAAATTATCTACGTTATTAATTAAAATTAAATACTAGTTATATTAACCAATTTTATCCTAATGGTAATTGGCATTTATTTTTATTTTTTTTAAATACTCTTTAACGCATTCTGGTTAAACATAAATTATATGTATGTAATAAATATATTTTATTTTATCAGTACCAATGATAACTTGATTCTCTGGTGTGTGTCTTGTATTTTTATTATGTCAAAAAGTGGAAAATTATCGGTTATTAATTATTATGCAGTTATCGGTTACACATTTTATGGAATGAAAATATACCAGGAAACTAAAAATAGCCGTTTCATTATTATTTTGGTCGTTTTTTAGAAGCTATTGTAAGATAATTTTTATAATAATGTATTTATGTATAAATATATATATATAAACATATATTTTATAATATGTAGGTAATCGTCGTAACGGATGTTTATCGTTACTATAATGTATAAAATATTGTATACACAATATACTGTGTTACACTTTTATATTACAGTTTAGATACAAAAATATATTAGGCAATATTAATTTTTCGAAATATTGATTGGAAATTTCAGCTTTACGTGTACACTTATCAATATATTATCAAAATTAATGCAGTCATTTTAACGCGTATAATAAAAACGTACATAAAGATACATCACTATTTTTTATATTATTAATTTCATTATTTTGGCTAGTTAAAATTAATTGTATTTTAATACTGTACACTTTACTTAATTTTTATTGTACCAATATTTTGTCAGTTTTATTTTTCCAGCACACATCATATAATATGATGTTCGTTTTCTGACATTACGCATTTCAATAAAAAAATATTAAAATAACACGGCGTTACATATAGGCTATATAAGTACATAATTTTTGAAAATTCGGTTTTTAAATGGGTATTTCATAATGTTGTAATCCCAGAATTTTATTAATGTGGAAGAGCTTTGGTTAAAGTAAGAGGCCACTTGTGTAACATCAACCAACTTTGTATTCAATATTAGAAAATCGTTGCCATCACACCGGGTTCAATTAGCCAATTTTTTATTTCTATATTAGAATAACTAATCTACCGTAAATACATTCATGAAAATAGTTAATATAAATATAATTTGCAAGCGATTTAGTTGTTATTTTCATTCATCACATTTTAATCGTTTAAGTCGTTTTTATGACGTTTCCATTACTTTATAAATTAATTAGTATCTATAGTATTGTAATTTAAAAATTCTTAAAAATAACATAAAAATTAAAATATCGTTTAAACCAAAAACACATAAACATAGATACCGTTGTATGATATTACAAATATAATATCAAACCCCCTGATATCAATGTGTGATAATACATACAATATAAGTGAGAAATAATTAAGGAAAAATTTGAAAAAATACTGCAGGTGTCTATAATGGAAACTACAGAATGTAATATTTAAGTCAACTAAGAATGAAGTAATTTATATCAGCATACAACTTTTTTATAGAAAAATTGTTATTTAAATTAATAATTAACTATAAAATTTTAGTCGTTCAATTGTAAATTATCAATGCATAATAATTATAAAATTATTTTATTGATATAAATAATTTATAGGTACTCTATTTATGTAATAAATGCTATTATATTAATTTTAAACTTCTTCTTAAACTGACGACAGAATTTTCGTATTTACATTAAATTGTATTGTTAAATGTATTTCATTAAAAGTTGAAGAAAAATTTACTTTTTTTAAAAACTTTTCTTAACTTTGTATTTTTTTTTTTAGATAAACAATTGCGCTCAAGACTGGGCTAATAATCTTGCGAAACTACAAACACTTCAACATAGACAAAACAACGCTTACGGAGAAAATTTGTACGCAGATCAAGATTTGAATAATTTAGGCGAAAAAGCAGTTGATGCATGGTATAATGAAATAACTAAGTTTAACATCGATGACGAAGAATCTGGATTGGGTAGCAATTCTGGTACACGTAAGTAATATGATTTAAAAATGATGTAAATGATTTTATTTACATACTCGATAATGTTTACATTTATAAAAAATTTCAAAATATTGTCATAAATAATTTAAAATGTATAATAATACTTTATATTTTAACGAATAAATTACAGAATTAGGTAAGTACTTCAAAAATTATTCATAGAAAAAATAGTAAAAAAATTCAAATGTCTACAGTTATTCGTTTTTAAATTACAAAAATATCATAAAAGTGTGAACTTCAAACGCGCATTAAAAATTAAATTGATTTTCCGGAAGATATTTTCTTTTTAAATATAATATATATATTGAAAAACTTAAAAAAAGTTTCATGATAAGTATTCAAAATATTAGGTTTGAATATGAAAAATGTTATGAGTTTTAATTACAAATAATTTATTAATATTTGTGATTTTATTGAAATTAGTTAAAATTTTAACTTCAAACACTCATAAACATTTTTTGTTTATTTGCTTTCAACTTGTTTTTTTATTGATAAATTCTTAGAAGAAATCTTGTATTAATTTTTCAAAGTTTTTGACACAGCAAACTGTATTGATAGATAATTAAAAAAAAAAAAAAACGAAAAAAATTAAAATATTTTAATTTATTAAGTATACACCGCGTATAGAAAATTATAATAAAAATACTTAGTGTAAATTTAATATTTCTGCGGTAATTCGTTTATCAAAGGAATTAATTTTGTCAAAAATTGATTCATCCTAAAAATTCCCTTTTTCCTTTAAATTTGTTTTTTTTTTTTGTTTTTTCAATTATTTTGAAAAATACTGAAAATGTTCTGATCCTTAATGACCCTAACCTTCATTCAAATACCGAGTAGATCCAATTTTTTATTGGAAAATACCCCCAAATCAATGTTGAAAATCGAATCAATTTTACTATAGGTACTACACCAAAAATTGATGCAGATATACTAATAAAAAAAAAAAAAACACATTATTGTTAAATCATAACACTTATTGCTTCGCTCAGAATCAGTTACACAAGATATCATATAAATTCAAATCAGCATTGTGTACCTAATCGATTTCGATAACGATAAAGTAGGTTGATAAATGATCATAATATTTTTGATGATTGATATAATATACTCAACGTGTTTATCTACTATCACCATCTAGTTAATTGACGTACTTAGTTTAAGATATCTTGTACCTACCTTTGTACTAGGTACCTCAATTAATTTAATTTTCTTAAAAAATGTATTTCTTTTAAATGCTTCATATGATAAGGTCTTTAACAAATAGTACATACCGCAAATGTATACTTCTGATATATATATTTTTTAATTTTAGACCATATGACACAATTGCTATGGAAACCATCAACTAAATTGGGTGTTGGCGTTTCACAAAATCCAAATGGCATGTACAACGTCGTTGCCAACTATGATCCTAGAGGAAATATATTAGGGTATTTCAAAGATAATTTACCTGAAATAAAACAAGAAGACATTGAAGAAGCAAAAAAATCAAAAAGAGCAACGGAATCGGTACCAGCAACGAGATGGTTTTCGAGTTCATCTTCTCCATTTCAGTCAAGATGGAATAATTACGAGCCATATTAAAATTAGAACTATTAGGTATGTATAAATAACTGATGATTTGTAAAACTTGTAAAAAAGTTGTCAGAATAATACATAATATAATAATAAAAAGATATGAAACCAATTTAAGTGCGTTTAATTTAAATTGTAGAATATTGTGCAAATTTAAAAAAAATTATAACTTATCTCTGATCAATAAAAACTAAATTATTACTTGTTAGAGTATAAAAGTTATTTTTATTTTAAATAATAATTATTACTGATAATATAATCACTTATCAGCACCTATTTTTTTTTGTTAGAAAGATTTATGATATAATTATTTACACCTATGTAACTAAATATTAGACTGTAATTTATTATATTTGAATATTTCACAATTCAATAAAATTAAAATTATGTAATATATATAATATTTCATTAGTGACTAGTGACTACATAGAATCCAAAACATTTTAAAACTTTTCGTGGGGGGGGGGGGGGGTGGTCGCACGGAAGAAAGTAGTGCGAAAGCAAGAACCCGGTAATTGTAAGTATATTTTGGTGGGCACTGGGTATAAGTGTGTGCCCAAAAATGGAGGTTTGAAGTTAATATTATGTGAATAATTTTTGTTTTAATTCTTTCAATATTTGCAAATAGCCTAAGGTTTCAATTTAAGAGTAATTTTTTTCAAATGTAACATAGATTAGGAAATATAATTATACACTATTTGTATCTAAATTATTTTTAAATAATAATAACAGTAATAGAAAATAATGTGTTTTGCGAGTCAATCAAGTAATCAATTTTTTATAAAAGACATAAAATTTTATCTTGAAACTTTATCAGAAAACTATTTTAAAATTCTATATAGGCCTGAATAATAATCAGGACTGATATTTATATAATTTTGCATCCTTTTTATTGTTTGATGTAAAAAATAGATACCTAGTTTCTACCTATGTGTTTCATGATATTAAAACAATTCTGTACATATTATATCAACAATTTATTTTTTATGTTTAGAATTTCTTAAATATTGTACATGGTTTGTTTATTTTTTTAAATATTCAGTTTGTGAAAACAAATTTTTGTTTGATAAAACTTATCGTTAAAATAATTATTGTACAGTGAAAAAATAATCATATAATCATGTTTATTTTTTATTTATTCTTCAAACCGCAATCAACACAATAATTCTAGAGAAGATTTCAGTAAGCTAGTCCAATTAAATATGAATAATGAAAGAAATTAATATTTACTTTAGATACATTCTATTAAATAGTCTAAATAATAATAATTATATATGAATTTATTTTCAAATATTTTCCATGAAACATCAGATAGCATATAACGCTTTTAAATTGTATATGTTACTAATATATTAGATATATAGATATACCCATGCATATTGCATTGGATATTTACAATTTTAATAAGAAATTAAATTATTTAAAAAAAAAAATTTAAAAAAAAATCCAATTTCCATTATTCTTTTTTTATTTTTTATTTTAGCAGTTTCTGTGTAAGTTGTCATTGTTTCTGCTATGGTCTCTTCTTACTTTGCGGAATTCGAGCGTTTCATTAAAATGATTAATATACATTTTTGAATCCAATCGTTGAGATAAATGTCAAGGTGATTATCCCGGTATTTATGGCCCATAAGTATCCGGGTCTTCAACTACAACGTATGGTAATGTCGTTGAATGTTTTATATAACCAACATTCTTGAACAAGCCCAATGACACATTATTCTTTTCATTAATAAGTGCATGAGGAGAGACGCCATTTTCTCCCATTACCTTGGTTACTGCCAACACAATCAGCTTACCAAATCCACGATTTCTGTAATTTGGCTGAACTATCAAAGTACTTAGACCTCCATAACTGCCACACATGGCCCATGCCAATAGCTCACCATTATGCCGGCTGAAAACACCTAAACCAATGTTAAGTCTTACCGTGTCCCAAAGGTCAGATTTAGGATAAACGTCACTATGAGTCCATAATGAATAAATAAAGTCTATATGATCCACGCTTAATTGGTCAATAAATACATCATCAGGAATTCTAGAAATAAAAATAATTTATAGATAAGTGAATTTGAACTGAGAAATTACAATTAGTTTTTTAATAATATACATTTTTTAATTTAAAAAAACCTGATGCATTTCCTTTTTTAATATGTTATTATTATTTATTTTATATTCTGTAAAACAACTGATTTTTATCTAAACACTTTATAGTATAAAAAATTCTTCGACCTTTAACTTCAGCATCTTTTCTGGTAGGTAGTGAATTTAATATATCCTTATGGGAGTCAACAGTTAAAATGTATCATTAACTTTTTAAATAATTAGGAACAAAAATTTGGGAGAACTGGAATGATAATTCATAGTTGAATAACTTAAAATTTTCAGCAAATATTAATATTTTTATTTTCTATACATAGTATACTTTTAAAAATATTAACTTAGACTCTTTTAAGTTTTTTAAAAGTATGAAAATATAAAAAATGTTTGGTCAATAAATTTAAAAATATATAAACACAACTTTTTAATTTCTTTGAAATAATATAAAAATTTTTTTTTGTATTTGAAATTTTTAATGTTTATTATTGTATTTTAGGCATAAAACAATATTTTCAAATACAATTTTCTTGACAAAAATTTACCTATTTTTTTATATTACTTTAAGTTAAATAAATGATAAGGAATTTAATATGTATATATTTATCATAAAGTATACTTATTAATATATAGGTTAATAAATGATGAATGTTTAAAATTCTTTTTTGAATGCAATGATTTATCATTGAAATTAAGTTTAACACATACTAATACTCAATATTAAATAAATTTAAAATATGAATTCAATTAACATTGAACCTTCAAATAAATTTATTACTCGCATATCGTAATATTTTTCATATACATTTAACAATAAAAATTAAATTATAAACACATATTTTAGTGAATTTATGTTCAAGTCCCAAGTCCTAGCTGATTAATATTTATAATATGATTTATAGAAAATGAATTTATTATAAATCAATTATAATTAATTATATTAATATTAGGATTTTAGAATCTTAATTAATGTTTATAATACTTAAGTTATCTTAGAAATGTTAATATTACTTAAAAAATATTCAATAACAATACTTTATTATTTAATCTTTTCTATCCATTTGTATTATCAAAATTTACTATTTTTTACTAAAGAATTCTTAAATATAAGTATTTTTATGAATAATGTTTCACATTTCATTGAAATAGGTATACGTATGGCTATTGTAAAAAAAAGGTAAGACTGGTTGCCGTTTTAACATGCTAGATGTATTAATAATTTTAATTATTAATGTATTTATTATACGTATATTTTACTGATTATATTATTGTAAATTTATCACAAATTTAAAAGGGTAAACCCCAAATATCTAATTAAAAATAAAAATTTACTGGTGGAATTTACATTTTTTTCTCAGGTAAAAAAAACAAACAGGTGGAATTTACATGAAAAAAGGTCTAATAAGGTCGCAATCTGTGAAATTTAAATGCGCCCATCAAATAATTATCTTAATTCTGTTAGGTTAAACATTTATCACGTATAATCTAAGTTTAAAAAAGATAATAAAAATTTAAAACTCGTGGACGAAAAATTGAAATCACGAGTCAAATTATACAATGCATTAGTATTGTGTTTAGATTCTAAATACGCAATCGTGTATAATATCGTATTTATACTCGCAAATTGAAAACTGAACTTTGTCTTTTACAACATAAAATGTAATTAACAATAAGCCTTGAAGTCAGAGATGATTGTGTAATTTAAATGTTTTAATTGACGTAATTTATAGTTTAATATCTTACTCATAATCTAATCTGGCAGCTACATCGGCTGGCATCCACTTAAGCACAGCATTTGAATACAGTTTACTCTTCAATCCCTTTTCTTCAATCATTGTTTCCACGATCGCCTTCATCCTGAACGGTATAGCTTGGAACAGCGGTTTCTTCTGCCAATTGATGTACTCAGTACTAAACAGCATCCTTCGGAATTGTTCTTCGTTTCCCGGGCAAGTGTATGTAACAACGACGTCCGGATATTCTTCTTCCTGAAATTAATATTACTGTGCAATTCGTATAATGTATCTTCCAGCATCATGAATGAAAAAAATTCCTAAAATTAAAAAAAGATTCTTAACATAACATCAACAATCAGATGTTTGGCGGTGTAACTATCTAAAATATTCGAACCTTCAGTGTTGATCACATTAAAAAAATCATATCAATTTTTACAGCTTATAAAACAAACATTTGTAACCAATAAATACTTTTTAAGTTTTGCTGTATGAAAATAAAATAGTCATTACATTGACATTTTTTTATTAACATTCAATGAATTATTTATTATTATTACTTACGGGTCGTGATAAAATCCCAATAAATGTTCCATTCTCAACGTCGTTAGAAATATAGTATAATTTGTAACTCGATGCCGAATTTTTGCGCATCCATTGAAACGCATTTTTAATGAAATAATATGCCTGAAAAGTTAAAAATATAAATTAACAAAGGCCGAACTGTAATGCTTCTTTAGATAAGGCTTGATAAATGTTATGTTTAGTAGGTATGTTATGTACATCTTTTATTTATGCGTATATACACTTAAAGTTTCCACTAAAATGCGCATATGTCATTTTAGAAATTATAAAAATGAGATAAAATTCTATATATTATAATAATATAATAATTATGAGGTTCAGAGTTCAATTTAATTTTTAGAATATTATTCTAATAATAATTATTATACACGTAGGATGAAATAATAATTGTATTTAAATGAACACATTTTAATAGTTAATAAACTAATAAATATGATATTTATAAATTAAAATAATAAAATACTTATAACATCAACTCTTAGTATTTTATAAATATCTCAAAATTAAAAAGATTATTTTTTGAAAAGAACCTATTGTTTCTCACAAGTTTAAGTTTTTAGTATTATGAATTTAAGTAAATACCTACCTAATATTGTAAAATTAATTTATTAAATGTATATATGTGCGTCGGATAACTTATAACGAATAGATTCCAAAAAATTAAATCATTAATGTAATAGAATATACAGGGTGTTCCAAAATGATTCATCCGATTTAAAAAAATCATATTTATTGTAAAATTTGATTAATCATGTTAGAATTAATTTTAAATTTTGATGGATTATTTTAAGTTTTAGGTACAATGCTTATAAATGTTCAATGTGACCCCCCTTACTTGCACAACACACATCTAAGCGATATTCAAATTCCTCATAAACCTGTTGAAGCATGTCGACTGTAACCAAGTTGATGGCGCCTGTAATGCGACTTTTCAATTCGTCAAGATCTTTTGGAAGGGGAGGTACATAAACAATGCTTTTTATGTAACCCCAGAGAAAAAAAAAAAAAAAAAAAAAAAACTTCTCAAAGCGGAGCACACAAAACGCTTTTTGTTGCTCGGTCGACATTTCGATAACAACTAATTAAGTTACGTCACTAACGATTACGGTGCCGAATTTAACAACTAGATAACTTAAAATAAACTTAGTTATCTAATCTTTCCATTAATACATTGGTCATTAACCTGCGATTAACCGTTGCCGAACTATATCAGTTCGTAATTGGATGAATCATTTTGGAACACTCTGTATTATTTATGAACATACTGTTTAAAATAATTTTTTTTTTTTGTTATTACAATAATTATGTTTCTTTTCAAGCATAAAATAAGTTATACATTTTTTACGTAACCTTGCACGTTCTTGTTGGAATTTACAAGCACATAGAAGATGTTATTTTTTATTTTTCATTTTAATAGCGTTTATAGATAAAAATTAGTTAATATAAACAGGAAATCTTTTAAATTATTTAATATGTCAACCAGAATTTTATTTTACAAGAGGTTTTTCTTAATATTATTTCCGTCGTAATTATTATTAACATTGCGTTCAAAAATATAATTATAAAGGTACACTTCTCTGCTGAAACATATGAATAAAGAAAGGGGCTAAGTACTTGATTTTGTTTTATACTTAGAAGAGCTTTTTATACATATATTTCTTGAAATAAAAACTGTATTAATTTATTTATTTACAATTGCATTAGGTTAATATGAATTTGTTTTTTATGTATCATTATTAGTGTTTTATTAATTTGTGCTAATTTGTAACAAGGAAGTAGAAACTACCCATATTAATTATAGCCATAAGATTTGTTTATATTATGAGTATGTACGCATGACGTACAATTTATTGGATCTGTAATTTATAACAATCTAATTACAACTAACATTATTATATATATTTTTTTAAATGACATTTTTTCAGGTTATAAATAAAGTAGCTCAAATGTTGATCTATAAATATCTGTGAATATCCGTGTGTTAACTATACACTGTGTTTACTTTAGTATATTGTACTAGATGATGTCTAGATGATTAAAAAGTAAAAAAAATATGAAATACATTATACGAGTGTAATGGTATTTAAATAACATTAAATACTACTTTACTTATTTACTGTAAATATTATTATAATTTAATTTAAAATATAATCATATAACTATTAAGTTTACACATAATATACTTAGGCATGTATATATAATATAAACCATAGTGATAACGATCTATTACGTAATAATATAACTGAGGTAAGTGTTGAACTATGTCAGAGGATAGTTATTAGTTTGTAAATATAAAAGAATAATAAAGTACCTAATAATTAGTAATATATATATATATCATATAATAAAAAAAAAATAAGTTAGAAGTACCAAGGTACTACTTTAATTTTAATTGAATACAAAAATTAGATTATTTTTATTTTTTGATAATCGGTGAAGTTTATCTAAAGTTGCTTGTATACATTATATACGTGTACCGCGTGTATGTGGCACATTGTCTAAACAATAAAAATATTAAACCATAATCATATAGATTAGGTAATAATTGTATATTAGTTTAGGCCCTAAAATAATATAATTGATAAATAGATACTAATTACTGAATGATGAGTTCGCATGATCACATTAAATTAACTCATAGGCTATCATAATATACATATTTACCTATTAGAAAATCACGCGTTTACATATTATTTGTGCTGGTCATCAGTATTTTATTTTACACCAAAAATATGATATACACAATATGTGTATTGCAACATATTTATGTATTTTTTACAAACTCTAATCAAATAATATTTAATATAAAATACATTTATCGTAAAATCATAAAAATTTTTATTCCTTTTTTTTTTTTATATACTTTTAATTATATCGTATAGAATATATTATACATTGTAAATATATATTTCACCGTAATGTATAACTTGTAATTTAACAAAGATATACATATATTTATCCCAATTTAAACAGTTATACCTGAATTTAAGAATATATATTTAAATATAAATAGTTTGAGTCCGATCATTATACGGAAATTCAATCTACATTGGCAAATTTATCAATTTTACGAATTTTGATTTTAACTCTATAAATTATAGCTTTCATTCATTTACTTATCTACCAATATTAATACATACACTTGTATTTAGTTAAACATACAATTTAATACCTACTTTTATTATAAATTAAGTATTACATCAAGCTCTCTCTTCATCCTAACATGGTTATATGACCTATTGATAGATTAAATGCTTCACTTTTCCTCGATGTGAAGTTCTATCAATGGATAGTTGGTATATAGCTGATAGATTTTATTTTATATACTAACCTTATAAACGTCATTTCGTGCTTTTGTAAAAAATATATTTACAGGTTGTACAATTCTAATACCTAATAAAAAATAAAAATATTATATTATACTCACGTGAATACAGTTCGGCCAATCGCGTTTCAATACTTCTTCACAGAAATATTCCATAATTGCTTCGGGCATTTCTTCGAGAACTTCGCTCCTCATGATGATGGTAGCTCGTTTATTATTCGTCTACGGGTAGGTTATAATATTATAATATCGTGAGATGAATCTAACGACTGGGCGCACGATGGTATGAGAAATATTATATTTTCTAATACCAACGGTGTAGGTAAAAAACCGAAATGGTAAAGCGCGTAAGCAAGTCTAATATAAACAATAGTTAGTAAAGCTAGTGATGGGTATTGATGGCGTTACAGTGGTAGTAGTAGTAGTAGTAGTAGTGAGCAGTACACGAGTGCACGGGCGACCAGTAAAATGTAAAATGGACGGTGTAACAGCAGTTTTGAGTTTACGGACCCAAGTGTTCAATGTTGCCTTTAAACGCAAAACTCGTGTACTAGTGTGCGCACTGCACGTGTGTGTGCATGTGTGTCTGTGCGTTTTTGTGGGGTGGTAGTGGCAGTGGTGGCGTTGGTGGTGGTGGTGGTGGTGATGGCGTGTGCGCGCTTCGGAATGAATCTGTGACCCTATTTCCGGCGTTTAAACGTGTGGTGGGAGTAGTCCCGAAGTGATCCGCTACAGCGGTAGCTGTAGGTTCTCTACCGATGTGGCACGAGTTACGCGCATACTTGCGCTCTGACGAGGTTATGACATTATTCGAAGCGGAACATAACGCGTAGGTATAGTTAATGTGGCTTCCACGCGTAAGAACTCTGCAGGGTATGCATTTACCAAACAGAAATTTGCCGTAGGCACATGCCACGTTATTTTTTGGACCCTTTTATCGGTCAGACTTGACAAGCTCGATTCCGTCACGGAAATCGTGGACCAGCAGTTAACACTGCGTCGGCCAACGCGATCAACGATAATATGCATAGGTTTTTTACCTAGTCGATAAGGTATAACCAAAGATAATATAATAATGAAAAAATATTATTATTATTATCATTTACTATTAGCATAGCCGCATAGGTGTGTGTATAATTTAATATTCACAGCAAACACGTGTGGTTATTTTTTAATATTACATTAGCTATTTAATATTTTTTATCCAAGAACATGTTTTCCAGTTTACCAACATGGTAAAATATTGCTTATATAATATATCGAAAAAAAAAAAAAAACATCACATTTTTTTAGTGAGTAATACTCGTAGTAAATGTTTTAATTTACTTAAAAAGGAAAAATTAATAAAATAGAAATTTGACAGAGTATGTGCCCAGACATATATTTTGTACCTATTTATAATTTTTCCATTTGTTAGTTTTATTGTATCATGTAGGTATTATACGAATCAAATTATTGTATATTTATAATTGTATATTAATTATTAGGTGTAAGTACCAAAATATGATTACCAAAATTACAAATTAAAGTTTCTAATTTTGTGTTAAACATTTTAGCTTTCAACAATTAGATGTAAAAAAGCTTGTGACTGCATTTTCAATATTTTTTATTACTATAAGAATGAATAACTTATAGAGAACAATATATTGCATTTTAAAGCTTTCGATCAAAAACGAAATTAAAATAAATCATGAACATTTAAATAGGTACCTAACTCAAACAACACCTGAATATACTTTTAAAATAGTAAATACACATCATGTCTAAAAAATGCTAACATAAATATTTCGTGATTAGATAGGTACCTACTTTTAAAAAAAGTTGGTAGAAAAAACTTATTAAGAATAAGATTTACATAAGAATTATTATGTAAATCATCTGTTTCGACAAAAACGATTTTTAATTTTAGGTTAATGATAAAATTTTAAAATATTTCATTTTTTTAAAGCTATTTTACACTTTTTTTAATTTTTTTTTTTATTATTTATATATGATAAGTTATCATAAATATATAAAAATATAATTAATTTCATTGGAAATTCCTTGAAACATCTATCACTTACCTAAATAAATTTATAAAGTCACAGTAAAAATATGTATTTACATTTAAATCCGAGCTCTAATGATAACATTTTTGTTTTCAGTAAACAATTTCAAATTTCTCATCAGTGTTCTACCAGAAACCTTAGGATCTCAAAAATGCAAATAAACAATTTTTTTTTTTTAGATTCAAATTAGATATATTTTATTGGCCAAGAATTATATTAAAGTTGACATATGTCTTTTTTATATTATTAACGTTAATGTATGACAATATATAAATGATGTGTATACAAATAGCTGTATAATACTTATTATTTCCAGAACTGTGATTAGGGCTTGGCAAGACTAATCTAGGCTAAAGGCGTACCAAAAAAAGAGGCATTAAAACCAATAAAAAGACCATGTTATTAATTATATCAGTGCTTGCACACATTTTATTTAGAATATGCGTAAAGTAGTTATACTATAATTATAGGGAAGTTTTAGGTTATTTTCAAGATAAATTACCATTAAATAGTAAACAATATAGGTATATATTCAGTAGGTATTCAAGTATTACAAAATGCTTACCCAAGAATAAAATATGTGACATCATAATATTACTTCAAGTGATAGTAATGGTTTTTATAATTGACTTGCATTACTATCAATTATCATTATTATACAAGATAGGTACATGCTAAAAACTTCTGTCAATATATTCATATTTTAATATTTAATAATTTATATTTCATAAATTCTAGAAGAAATTCTACAGCGAGTTGCTTATTATTGTCACTATGCGAAATGTCATTAATTTACTTATCTATTAATATAAGGCGTGATTTAGGTTTAGTAAAATAATTATATATAAGAATGAAAATATCTATTAGATATTTAAGAAGTCGCTTTTACTATTTGTTGATTTTTATTTTTTATCGATTAATTTTGAATTCAAATAATGTAATAGGTAACATTAGTTTAGTAATGCATTTAAAATCCAATAACTAAAATAAAAAATTGAATTAAAATTCAAACATATAAATCTTCTTTGGAATCAAATTAAATGTTGTGTGGGTTTGTGAGGTTGGAAAGATTAAACATTTATAAGAGCAAAAATATGTTAAATAGCCAGAAGCACTGATGGATCTCGCTACTTCTGCTCTGAATATGTCCAGTAAGCACATTATTACTTATTATCTAGTTAGTATTAGGTTCGTTTATAGTTTGTTTAACAGTGTCACACATCCGTCAAGATCTGTTACTTTACTCCCCCCTCAAAACAAAAATGTAATGAAATAATTTTTTTTTATTACTTGAAACATAAAAGTTAAAATACAATATCAAAAAAATTACACAATACATTTTGTGGGAGCAATAAATACCAAAAAAATGTTTATAAGCTTGTTGACATTTTTTTTACACCTATATTTTTTTAATTTATATCTATAATAATATCCACAACCAGCTATAACCTCCATAATAAATACGTCAATATAAAATAAATTTTGCTTTTTGTTAATTTATTTTTTCTAAATTAGAGATATTTGAATTAGGTACTGTTTGATCGTTGACCATGTTCAGTTACCTACTTCATGAGTAATTGCCGTTTGCAGACTACTTTCTGCTTGTATATATTATTTTAATCCACTGAATAATAATTTTCACTATTCGGAAAATGCTTAATTTTTGTCTGCAACATGCATTTTTTATTTCATATTCCTAAACAGAATATTATACAGAGTATTTGGATTAAATTTTGAACGATAAGAAATTTTTTTTTAAAGTTAGATAGGTAACAGTTTTTAAAATAAATTTCTTCAATAAAATAAATATTTGGAAATTTCTATATTATTATTATTATTATTATTAATTATAAATAATTAGTTTATATTAGTATTTTTATTTTCATTTATTTTATAAATTTTATATTTTTAGGGAGCAGGTAACAAAACAGATCACACATAATTAGTTATACTTATCTATTATCTATTTGATTTAAGTTATACTCAGTGGTGCATTTAATGTTAACGCGCCCAGGGACAAAATAATAGTTCCACCCTCCTCCTTTTCAAAAAATAAAAAACTTCCAAGTTAAGCAATAAAAAAAATTAATTTTATGAAACAAATCATAAAATCAGTTGATTTACTATATTGTATTAAATAATTTTATAGTAATACATAACCAAATGTTAACCTAACCTTTTTTTTTTAAGTGAATTCCCTCAAAATATATATATTATACTAAGAAAACAGAATCATCACTTAGTATATGCACAATGATTAACAATGTAACTAAATTAACAGCATATGGTTTTTTTAATTGATTAAATACATAATATTAATTATTAATTATATACAATAAAATAGTTTATAATTTTTTTCTCGACTTTTGAGAAGCAAAAGTTTCAATAATTTCATTAAAATTAATAGTTTTTGTTAAATTAGCTTCAATGTTGAAAAGTGCTAATGAATTAAGATGATTTTCTCCCATTGTTGATCTTAAATAAATTTTGACCCATTTTGATGATCTTTCCGTTGAACAATTACTTGATTGTATACATAGAAACATTAGAGCAATATCAATATAATATAGGACAACATACTTCAACTTAACTATTCTGTTTTATAAATACTAACATACACTGAAAACTTTCAGGTACAACTTTATTCTACTTTTGTAAGCTTTTTAAATGTGCCCTAAAGTGAATACATTCATTTGGAAATGATATTTCCAAATCTTCCGGTAATACTTTTTGAAGTTGTTTAGTCTTCTTGCGTACCTCTATGCAGATTATGGCGGTTAAAGGAATCAAAAACTGGTATTAATGGAAAAGTTCATCATATGATTGTTTTTTTTTTTCTAGTTTAGCCATAATTTTATCAAAGATAAATATAAACGCCATTCCCTTTAAATAGTTTAAATCCACACAATTACTATTGTCAGAAGCTGGACCATCATCGATAAACATTTTTCTATGTTTCTTACGTTTATTGGTAGTTATAAAGTCTTCAATCCCACATTTTTTAACGGCTAATTTTTTGTAGTATTCATAAATGTCTCTTATATAAAAAAATCAAAGACTCATATATCCCAACCACAATTCCTAAGTCTATATCAACAAACTGTAATTTTATATTACACATATTAAATCTTTCTAGTATATCACCCCAAAAAAATGACATGATAAGCATTTCTAAAGATAATAATTGTTTTAAAATACCATTGGCTTCACAACGTGTATTGGACTTCTGAGTCTCATCACTTAATTATTTCTAGGGCATTAACTATTGATATCCAATTTTTCTGTATACAATATCTCTAACAAACTATTTAGTATCTGATAAATTTTTAACTTTTGACAACAATATTTTCTAGTGGTTCGTTGAAACTGAAAAAAATGCTAACAGTTTTTGAAGTAAATCAAAAACTTTAATGCATTTTAACTAGCTGCATTAGTTTTCTCTAAATTCAAAGAATGAGCAGAGAAAGATATAAATTGTGCCAGTGGGCTAACACTTTTAATTCTAACTTGTAGTTCAGAATAAATCCAGACATATTGCTAGCATTTTCATATGATTGTCCTCTTAGGTTTATGAAATCTAAATCAAACTTCTCAAGAGTCGAAATTATTGCTGTAGCTATCTGTTCAGCTTTAAAACCAATATGATCTTTTTTTTCTGTTTGAACCAACCACCGGGAGGGGACCATCGCATTACTTCCTCCCGAAAACCAATATGATCTAAAAAGCATAAAAAACACTCAACTGGTTTCCCATATGGATCAACATATCGTATGACTAATGATAACTGATCTATATGAGAAATATCCGGTATTGAATCTACACTTATGGCATTTTAAATTTCTTGAATGATTGTGTTTCTTACTGTTTCTAATATTATGTTAATAAACTGTTTATATGTGTTATATAAGACATATGAAACATTTCCCTTTCCAGAATTTCCATATTTTTTTATATGCGTTGAAAGAAATGGATCAAATTCTGCAATTAACTTGAGTGCTGTCATAAAATTACCATTAAGAGGACTAACTATTTGTAAGTTGTGACCACGAAATGCCAATCCTCAAGAAGCCAATGATTTTACAATGGCTACAATTCTCTTTAATACATTTTTCATTCTCAATTTCTTTAATTAAATTTTGGTTAATGCAGTTATTTACCATTCCACGGTTTTTCATTGTCAACACATTTGAATGGTGTTTTGGTGAATTACCATGTTCCTTAATACAATGCCAACTTTTTTTCAGTTTGAAAATGAAGATATTCCACCAAATAGTAAACATAGTATACAAAAAATGGAACCTTTGCTTTCAGAGCACATGAAACAGTTAAACTTGATTATTTCACCATGTTTTAGAGTGGTTAGTAAATAATTAGCTTTGAAAAATCTAAAAGAAAAATAGGTTTAATAAAATAACTATAGGGATGCAGACATAATACAATATGTTTATAATTTATATAAATAGTACCTTTAGTATGTTTTTATGACTTCTCTATAAGACTTTGTATATATTCTTTTAGAATTTGATGTATTTATGCATTTTAAATCTTGTGAAAATCCATTAATAGACAAGTAATCTCTAGATTAGTCATCTAATACCCACAAAGCATGATCATATCTATACAATAAAATTTAAAAGTAGTTTGGTATTTTACTATTTTTTAAATAGTATTAAAAATATATAATAATATGTTATTTAATAGTAAATATTAATAATATATAATATGTTATTAGATATTGTATAAAATAGTTAAATTTTAATAGTTTTTCATGTATTACCATATAATTTATAACAACATAAATATTTATAATAATGAATTAGGTATAAAATATTAAATATTTAAAATAATATTAAACTAAAAATTAGTTAGGTAATATTTTTTTTTAAATTTAAAATTATTTAATTATTTAATAGGTAATATTAAAAAAAAAATACTTTAAAAAACTGAAATATATAGTAAATCTATAACGTTTGTTTTTAATGAATAACAATAAATATTTTTAATATATATATATTTTCTATAGCCTAAAGAATTTATCTAATAAATGATAATAACATACCCAGGAATATTGTCACCAGTTCCTTCATGGTGACTTTATCTGTTTTCAACGACAATAAATTAACTGCATCTTGATCTACATAAGTCAATTACTGATCAGAGTTATCTACAGAAATTGTTATGCGTCAAATTAAGTGAGGAATATAATGTTATACCTACTATATGTTATATTTTATACTTGATTTGATCTATAGGAACATTTGAACATGAACTAGAATTTAGAAACCTCAATAAATTCATATTTAGATTTACTTTCAACAACAATAGCAAGTTCATGAAAATTGTGTTTTTCTAGTTTTGATTTTGGTACACCACAACTTGTATTAAAGTCTTGTGTGTGTTTTGAATCAAGTACTGTTTACCTAAGATGCAAAGCATTAAAAATTAGTATAAATATTTTACAAAATCAACAATTAATCACTTTTATCAAACAAAATAGGAAATGTGAGCTATCCCTGTATGAAATAAAAATACAAACAAACTTTTACTAGCAGCATTTTAAATATTTCACTGATATTTTTACATTTTTTAACTATGGCCAAATTTTATTTTTTTTGCCAGAGCTAGTTTTTTAAATGCAACACCACTAAGCTTTTTATGACTATCCATGCTACTTAGTTTTGTCTTAAAATTATTAACTACAATATAATATAATAAAGATAATGAAATATAGCAATTTACAAAATAAATTCAGTTATCCGTAAGGTGGAAAATTTTAAAACGTTAATTATGTAGCATAAGACTAAACTCAAACATTTACAAATATTTACTTACCTTTTTGTAATATCAGAATTTTATTGAATTGTACAGTAAACCTCTGTTGTAAAATGTAAACTTTAGTATAAAATATATAAGGTAATATATTTTGTAGAATACGCGTGTATTAAAAATTAGGAAAATTAAAATAGTAAACTATACGCGTACAACTATATTATAATAACATAATATTTATTAATTATTAAGCACCGTGTCTCTTCAGTTTTCAGTTGCTGTGATTGACAATTGCTTTGACTTTATGAGTGTGTGACCAAATTTTCGTTTCCGACCGGCCATCAATAAGAGTAATAAGACAATAACAATATTATTAAATCAAATTTATTTTCGTATATCGCCAATTATACCGAAACAGGGCGAAACTCCCATTACTATTTATAACCATCTCCGCGATTAACAATAATAAACATTATACACTATATCCACCAAACGGTACAAACAACAAAAACAGATAAAATGTCTTAATTATTATGAACATCGAACGAAAATATTATATCTTATCGAATAATAAATACCTATTTCAGTATTACATAGATAGCTATAGGAATAGTATAATTTTTTTAATTTTTAATTAGATGCTCAACAATATTTTTCTGAATACTTAACAATACCGAAGAAGTGTGAAAATTAAAAAAATCCCGAACACATTTACAAAAGTTAGAATTTTTTGCCATCTCTAAAAATTTAACGCTTGAGGCATTTGCCCCTTTTGTCCTCCTCCTTAAATGCACCACTGAGTATATTTATGATCTATAACGTTGTCACATGCCTGTTACCTCGACTCTGGGGGAACGCGCTGTCGTACCCCAAATGCCGGGGGGTAGTCTGTCCAACAGCATGAATCGCAAGAAAGAATGCGGCAAAGTCCGAAGCAGCTTTCCAATAGCCATCGATCGGGACATAACGGCTACTGCTAGCCGCAGTAGGAAAGGTCGGAAAACTCTCAACGGGAGCCCCGCGACCAGGCGCGATGCGCTTGTTGCCAAAAGACGGACGTCCTCCGGGAAGCGTAGAACCGGGCTCCCTGACAGGAGTTTAATCAAGTCTATAAGTCTCGTAAATAAAGGCCAGCTCCCCCTTCGAGCTAAATCCGGCCGGATAGGGCCAAATGCAATCTTAGCACTCGAAACAGAGACGGAAATCTGTTAAAAAGAAAATCGTATACACACAAGATAATCTCGCGGCAGACTTCTCGTGCTATCTCGAGGGTACGCTACGGACCGGCAGTTGTGAGTACCAGAGCGCTAGCTCAAACATCGTACCGCGAGAATCGGAGACCAGCCTCAGCGGATAGGCCCGCTAATGGCCTGTATGTTCGCTCCGGTAGCGGCGTACGCGCGTTGCGCGACCGTAGGTGTTCCATACAGGGACCGTGCTCGTCCATGGCATATGCGTCGCTTTTGAGGAAGGCTTCGCGATGGTGTAGGAATAACGCTTTAGCTAGAGGGGGTTTGACTTGAGCGGGAAACCACTGTGCCCGGGTCATAGCAGTAGCTTATTAAGACGACCAAGTAAAGGTGGTGTCCCGGGTGGGTTGTCGGGGTGCCTGGCTCCAGGGAGCTCACCCTGGTCTCCCAACTGAAAGAGGTAACTTCGCTATTATATAAAGGAATGGAGTGTCGCTGGGGTAAAAGCCAGATGGACTCGTCAGACCTCTTCACACATGGAAACATACCTGTTATCTGTTACAATACTATTATAATTTATTCTATGATATTCTGTGAATTCTATTTTATAATTATTGACATTATAAGATAGCTAATAAAATTAGTGTGGCATGTGCAACATTCGCTTCACAGCAGGAGGGTATATAGAAGTAATTTCACTCATAGCTCACAAGATAACCAAATTATAAGTAACAACTATTCAGTATTAATTAGTCTTTCGTCGCGAATGGTTATACTTTACGAATTTACGATAATATTATTCCGTTCTTATCGTTATCTCAATTTTATTATCCGAAAATTACGTTAATTAGGTATGTTGTGTTTAGTATATAACAAAGAAATATTTCAAGGCGATGAAATAAATTGTTTTTTATGTAAGGAGTTATTACATTTCACTAGCGCTGGATTTAGAGAAGTAAATTTTAAAAAACCATTTAAAATTCAGAAGGAAAAATGGTCTTGCTCAAATTTTAAAATTAAGAAAACCAACATTTTCATCCGCCATTTCTACTAAAAAAAAATACAATAGTTTCCAATAAAACTCTGAAAGGTATTGTTCACTCAATTAATTTTTATAAGTTCACAATAGGCTTTTTTTTAATGTGCAATGAGATACATTTTGTGCAATGAGAAATAGTGTAGTAATAATTGTTACTTTATGCAGTGCATAAAAACAATTTTTTGTAGTTTTTTATTTTACTCGTATATCATTTGATAATAATAAATTGCATAAGCTTAAAATTTAAAATAAAACCATGTCAAGATAAATTTTAAATATTGATTATTGCATTTTAGTTTTATCTTGTCTTTTGATCGAATAATGTGGGTTTTAAACAGATAAATGTATTGTCATTGAGTTTTAATTTATTATGTGATACTGCCGCAAATAAAAGTTGTGAACACGTTAAAACGAGTATCAAAGTGTATAAATATGCTTGTTGTCTCCGCGGTTTTGGATATAAGTATATAACTGCTTGTTGATGTTGTTATGCAATCGTTATCCGCCAATTCCCGCGAATACATAGGTACCTAAACCTAATAGAAAAATATAACAGTTATAATACGAGATACTTAAAATCTATTACTGACTTTGTAAATAATTTTAATTATAATTACACTAATAAAAATACTTTCTTAAATGTAATGTGTACCTATATATGTACGAAGTGTAAATGCCAATTTTGATGAATTCTTGTTATTTTTAGAAAATTATATAAATTATAAAAAATAGATATTCTTATTTTAACTAAAACATGGAATCATGTGGAAAACTGCTTATATTCAATCTCTGGTTACAATACATAATTCTCATCTACTAAACATAACCAAAATAACAGTATAATAATCTTTGTCAAAAGCTGTTTTGTGGTTAATTTAAATGTATATGAATTTGGTTCTATTGAAAATAACATTCTAAAATTATCTCTTAACATTAATGATATACCGCTGATATTTTACTGCGTGTATAGGTCATCCATAAATAACATGAATGACTTTATTGTACAATTACGTATATTTTTGCACACGTTAACACTAAGTAATAAATAATAATAGTTATTCTTTCTTAATAGGAAATATAAATATTAATATTGTAAGTAATGTTAATAATGATTATCTCTAGACTTGTTAGCCGGGCATGGTTTTAAATCCTTTAAAAATTTATGTACTAGAATACATACAAACTCTATTCAATCATGTTTGGACCACATTTTTATCAAATCATCACAATCAAATTTAGATAACATTGTTGCTGATGTTATACCAACATATATCACAGACTATTTCACTATACTTACCAAAGTAATAATACCTAGTCATGATATTCATAAAAATAAAATTAACTTTGACCTTGAATGCACGCTTTTAGAAGAAGAAAATTGGTCTAGTTTCAATAAAATATTTGATGTTGACAAAAAATAGATATATTTTATTCCAAGATACAAATTTATATTAATAAATCCAGCTATGAAATCAAAACTAATTCAAAAAATAAACGAATTAAGGAATGGATGACTAAAGGACTATTAATTTCAACCCATCAGAAAAATGATATTTCAAAATTGGTTAAAAAATATCCAAACAATTTAAAATTACGGACTTATTACTTTAAATATCGAAATATTTTTGTATCAACTTTAAGAGCTATAAAAACAAATTATAAAGTAAAATGTTCTACAGTAATTAATAAGCCTAAACATACCCGGAATTTAATAAATTACTTATCGGGTACTAATAATAATAAAATAATAAGACATTCGTAAATAACATTGAAAATAATAGTAAAAAAATTAACCCCCAAGATAATTCTCTGAACACAGCAAATATTTTTAATACATTTTTTATAAGTGTAGTATGACATAGTAGTAAAATTTAAAAATGATTTAGATATCAATAACAACGTATGTAATTTGTCTTTTAATCAACATTTTCTCAAAAAAATAAAAAGAACTGAGGTTCTAAGAATAATTAATAGTTTCAAAGATAAAACCGCAGCTGGTTTTGAAAAATATCAGTTTAACTATTAAAGCATATTGCAATCTACATTGTAGACCCTTTTATATATATATATTGAATATATGTTTAAAAAAAGGTTTTTCTTGATAAATTTAAACTTTGAATTATCAAACCGTTATATCAAACAGGAAGTAAAGAAAATGTGACAAATTATAGACCAATATCCATGCTCAGCAATTTTTTTAAAATTTTCGAAAAAATAGTAAAAGTAAGACTTATGTACTTTTTAGAAAATAATGTTTCAAATTGGTATAATTAGTGTAAAACAAGTCGACAAACGGAACAATAGGACATAATATGATATGTCTGTATGTTACACAAAAAAGAGTATAGGACAAAAACTCATGGATTAGTTAGGTCCAATAAACTTTAATAAAATGCCACTATCTATAAAAAATGTGTTTTCAATAATGTAAGTAATAAAATCAACTAATTGTCAAACAAAAAAAAAATTGTAAACTGGTTATTACTTGAATTGTAACTGTGTCGTATCACTCACATCTGAATTTGTATCGTATTGTCTGTTATGTTTAAGAATAATATTTAAATCGTAATCTTATAAAATGTACTGATAATATTAAACTCATTTATCCCGCCACAAGCTTAGCTTAATGGGATAAATTAATCATAAATACATTGTTTTAGATTTGGTTTTTAATTTAGTTTAATATTAGATTAATAATTTTTAAATGTATAATAATGAATTGGTTTTTTCTTAAATAAAAAAAAAACTATACTGTTAAACTGGATCTTAAAAAAAAAAAGGGCAAGGGAGCTGGGAGGGGATTTATTCTCTATATCACACCATAAATATTAAATATGCCACTGTGTTGCATGTTTCTGCTTTAATTTT